TCGCGTGTTCAACCTCATCTTTTCCTCTCCCTATCTACCTAAGAGTATTAGACCTACAACGAGCATTCTTCGATTCCTCCCCACTGTGTTATCATAGGTATAGCACCAATGATGAGTTATTTTGCCATAGAGTAGTGGGTACTAGTGATAAGACTGGATATAAGTAGTATTCGTTGAGAGGTAGACAGAAGTCATAGACAATTACCAGTAATGGGTAAATATTCTGTACAGAGAAACGCAAGAGACAATTTGGGCATATGAAGAGCAAAATCGAGACAGGAGAAGAAGAGGAAATGAAACACACTGTACAAATGACTATTCTAATGGAAAGTGCACAATATTTCATCATTACTGTACAAAATGTCGTAATAAACATTCCTTCCTGCGTCTCATTCTTTGTCGTTTCCTACAATATTACTTATTTTAGTACAGTTCACCATTTTAGGCCTGAATAAATAGAAAAGTCTAGATAACATGATTAAACCCGAACAACTCTAGTTTGGTAGGTTATGGTACTTAAAGCCAACAGTTACCACGTCGAGTTAGATAGATTCAGTTATTTCGTTTAATTGGATTGATATAACCCTGGACATGAGTTTATTGATTAGTGAATTGCAGAATTAGGGTCCCTGATATCCTCTCTCCGCATACAATAACACTGTAGAGGGACTGAATTAACACTTAGTTGTGTGGTAGTAACTGATTACACTGCTACTACTACACTTTTTCGCATGAGTTCTCATACATATCGGAATTCCAGAGAAAAGTTATGTTGCTCAGTACCGTTTTTCATACGTATTTTATATCTCATTGTTAAGTTTAATGACTATGCACAATCATATGTGCATGCATCAAGCATTTTGTTGATTCAGTTGGGATTTTCAAGGAAAAGTACCTAGTCGATTTAGTGAAACTGAACTCACGTAAACTAATCATTGCCAGTTACATTTCATGCTGACCGAAGTGCCATGTCAGATGCAAGGGGTAGATTATCATGCATAACATCACTTAGCTGAATAATCGTAATGGTCATGTTATACAGCTTAGAAAAGAAAGCTGCTGAGTGTATGGCTGTTATTCAGATACATTGCAGATACCAAGTGTTGAAGGTCTACTGAAGTCCCTCTCAAGCCTTCTTGAAGAGTAACAAAAACCTCACTAGTCACTAACCTGAAAGGGATGATGAAGCTCAACCATGCATGTGAAGCCATCAACAGCCTCAATGAAATCTTACTTCCTAGCATCAGACGGGACATCCATGCAAACCAATCATGAAGCAATAACATGAAGTAACAGAGACTACATAAGGTTATTTTATCTTCAAAATAAAGTAATCCATTGTCTTCTTGTTAGATAATGACAGAAACAATCGGCAGGAAGCCGATGATGACCTAGGTTTCGTGTTTGTCAGCACTCACTAGCCTGGCATATCTACAACCATAAGAAAACTAGTGTGTCTCCTTGATGATTCGAATGCGCAGCACAGTGCGAAAGTAGGAAACTTATTCACTGAGTTTTTCAGCCATAATTAACCCCCTTGTAGGACTGGATTGTGTGCATGAACTGATCGTCCACCAGCAAGTAGCTGATGCAGCTGGCTATTCTTTAGTGCTAAGCACTGATCGAAATCTACTGATCAAGTTTTACATTTTAACAATACATGCTATGAAAAGCTTTGAGAGATAGATAACAAACAATAGACATTTTTAATGAAAATAATTTATATTATTGTGATTATGGGTGAAGTACTACCCCCCTTAAAGCACGAAATTAGTCATTCATTCATCCAGTGTGGTCAGTATAAAACACATTAAAAACAACCACCAGTTTTGTTTAGCCTAGTCAATTAATTGCCTTTTGCATAGGCTACGTAGTACTATAGCAATTTTTCATACATCGAAACTCAATCACTTACATTGGTAATGGGGTTTCATATTTTGACAAACAAAAATATGAAAAAACTATTGACAGACACCAAGGACAGATAAAATCAACGAGGAACGTCGCACACAACCTTATCGGTTCAAGTTGCTACACTACATTTCAGTGGCATACAAAGAACAAGTGGCTTAAAAAAGACTGATATCAAGGTAGAGAAGGATGCATAACAGAATAAACCATTTACAGATATTGGTTAGCACAAAATCTCGAAGACGTCAAGGAATGAATATATCTGCACCATGGTGACTGATTTTCAGTTGTCTCAACCCGGAGTTCTCAACCACTGATTCGTATCGTCTCGAGGACCTAAATCACGTAGTTCAGAGCTGCCTTTACGGTTTAGACTAACATTTACAGACTTCATGAACTAGCCTAGCGTCGTGCTCTGGTTACCCTAAACCCTCTTCAAACCTAATTCAACTTCTCCTAGCATCGTAGTAGATTGAAGTAGGCGACAGCTCGATATGCTCAGTATAACTGTTGTCATATTTAGTTTGTCTTAACTGTTAACGCTTTACGAAGAACAAGAAAACTATGTGAACACTGATAGAAGATGCTTCTTCTGTGTGGGACTCTTCAGCAGTGTGCACTCACGACACTAACACCCCCCCCCACCACCACCACCACCACAGGTCGAACCCATGACCTTCAGGTTCCGTCCCTCGTACGTTACCATTGAGCTACTCGGTCGGAACACGATGGTCCATATTCCCAACTTCTGTCAGTTCACGATATAACGCGACTGCTACCCAATGTCATCAGTGAGTAGTTGTCATCATGGTCACCAGGTTTGCCCCACGGGTCACGGGTTGTCGTCATTGGAACTTCAGGAATCACCTCTCGAAGCTAGTATTCAATGAGCACTAGTTCAATTGAATTTGGAGGTTCATAGGGATTTATAGATTTCTTCAAGTTGGTACTTACCATAGATTGACATCAGTTGGAGGGACATTGGAAACCTGGTGCACTCACGACCCCAACCCGCCACAGATCGAACTCATGACCTTCAGGTTCCGTCGCCAGCACGTTAGCATTGAGCCACTCGGTCGGGATTCAATGGTCCATAATTTTCAACTCCTAACAGTCGATGACATCGTTTGACCCCCCCCCCCCAACTGATGTCAGTCCATGACGAATACCAACTTGAAAAAACATCAATTCCCACAAACCCCAAAATTCAACTAATAGATAAGATAAGAAGACAACATTTTTCAGTAAATTCCATTTAAGGCTGTAGTGTAATGGGGTTTATGAAAACAATAGATGATATAAGTCAAACAATTATACCACCTCAAAACCAAGTGAATGATTAACAGTTTATAATACACCAATTCATTCCTAGATTACAAAAATGATTCTACGCGTCCCATGAACAACTGAAAATTCTCCCGTCATAACAACTCAGATAGGCGATTCGATATTTCTTACAAAAACATGACTATCGATTATGCAAATATGAAACGTTATCACCTTCATTGCATACCTTCTCATTCTCCATCTTCTATTGGTTATTCCTTAAATGTCATAGTGTTTTCTTTTTAACAGCGTAATCCGCTGAACCAACGTGTTAAAACTTAGGAATCATGTTCTAAGGGAAGCTTGTTAATAAGTTATGAAGCAAAATATACTACTGAACAACTTCAGTAACTTAGAAACTACTCAGGCTGCTCTGTAGTTTTCTCCAGCCAGATTAGAATAATGTAAATAGCGGACAGGAATTCAGTTCGTTTAGGATCGAGCTCATATCAGCGGTGTACACGGACGATTTGGCTCACAACAATCGAATTACTTCAGATCACCTGAGTCAGGCTAGTTGACTTGCATGGATCGGCATACCTTAAATAGGATAATCAATTTGCAAAAGATTTACATACTCCACAGTTCATGTTGACATTTCTCACAGCTCAGTAGTTTTTCAACTGTCCGTCTGTCGTGTTAACAAGGTTTCCCGTTGAATACTACTCAATGAAAATGAAAAATGAAAGACACTCAGTCACCTTATGTACATCCATTCAGTAGGCAATGAGCCCGACACCTACTGTGTGAGGATTAGGTGCTACTTCTAGCTGCCCAAACATCGGTAGGTGCAGCGAGGCTTGAATCAGTGTCCCAATGGTTAATAGACAGACTCAAGACTGATTTGTGAATTTTACTAGGGAATGCAAATATGAATCACTGTCGAATTCGAAACTTCAACTAGCTAAATGAATGGTAATTCTATGTAGTTACTAGGAGAACCTATCCCTCTCCAAGATTAAAAAAGACGATCTTTATAGGAATTAGTGTGACTTCAACGCATGCACAAGCAATATAAAGAGTAACTTCACTAAACGAAGAACGTGAAAAACACGCTTTAACAGTAAGTGTTAACCACAGAAAAGTGAATATACATTTAAAAAGCTTATTTGATAAATTGTTTATCTTCAAAGTTACACGAAAACTTTTTTTTAAAAACAACCACGATAAGAACGAGATATTGTAAAGTACGCAGATATCCAGGTAATCTGGCAGAAAGTAACAACTAAGTTTTAGAGGAACATCTCTTCTCTATGTAAAATGTTGTTATAACATCATGACCGAATACATATGTGTAGGAGTGACGTTATGAAAAAAGACAAAATGAGAGAGTGGATGTTTTCTCGTTAAAGAAATTTTTCTGATCAAGTTGACCTTGACAAATTCTTGAACTAACGAGCTACATCGTTGATTTGACTGTACTAGTGACAATGCACTAGTCCCTAAGATGATGTAGTAGTACAAAAGTGACATGGAGTGGTTAAAGTGGATTTGGGCAAGCCAGGTAATCTCATCAGCTTTTACACATTGAGTTTAACCAACTGCCTAGTGTACAACACACTTGAATTGAAATACAAATTAAAAAATCGAAAAACCCAATATCATGTTAAATTCATTCCTCCACATCTCAAAAACCAATTTTATTCATGTAACGAAAAGAGGATTTTTTTTTCCTTTCAATTTTGATAATAAATTCCACAAACAAAGAAACCCTAACAACTAAATTTTATGCATATGTAGCAATAATGAGTAAAGCAATTTACCTTATCCATTTGCATATGACCATAATTACACTCATCTTCTGTACATGCATAACCGAAATCGCATAGTTTTGCAATAAATCCATCTGTGATTACAACATTCCGTGCTGCAACATCTCTATGAACCAACTTGATGAAAAAAGATAGTAATATAAACATACGATGAAGCAGTCAAATGGAATATAATTTGAACGTTAAAAATTATTCATCTAAATAGCTTTCTATAGAATAAGCATGATGCACAAAGGTATGTATATATCAACTACTGAATACAAACCGATAAATTGTTGATGACCTTGAACAAAGGAAGGGCAGAATCAACAGTGGTACATTGTGTTCTAGGTATTTTAATACTTTAAAAAACTTTAATCAGTCTCTTGGTTTCTACTCATTCAATATATATTATGACTGTATTCGCCTAACAGATAACCGATAATTCCAGACGAAACTCTATACAGCTTTATTTCCTCTATTGAATAAATTTCCAAATGGCAACCATTTCGACGCTTCAATACCTTGGCGATTCATTTTATTTTGTTTTACATAAAGATAAATCAGCAAGTCCACGCTAACCAAAATCAAAACTTAATTTGAAGGTTTGTGGGGATTTAGAGATTTTTCCAGTTCGTATTCATCATGGACTGACATCAGTTGGAGGAACGTTGGAAACCTGGAAGCACTGAACAGCTGTTTCGTCCTAGTGTGGGACTCCTCAGCAGTGTGCACTCACGACACCAACACCCCCCCCCCCCACCACCACCACCACAGGTCGAACCCATGACCTTCAGGTTCCGTCCCTCGTACGTTACCATTGAGCTACTCGGTCGGAACACGATGGTCCATATTCCCAACTTCTGTCAGTTCACGATATAACGCGACTGCTACCCAATGTCATCAGTGAGTAGTTGTCCTCATGGTCACCAGGTTTGCCCCACGGGTCACGGGTTGTCGTCATTGGAACTTCAGGAATCACCTCTCGAAGCTAGTATTCAATGAGCACTAGTTCAATTGAATTTGGAGGTTTGTGGGGATTTCTGGACTTTTTTCAAGTTGGTATTCATCGTGGTCCATACTAGGACGAAATAGCTGTCCAGTACTCTCAGATTTTCAATGGTTCCCAAACTGATGTTAGTCCATGATCAATACTACCTCTAAATTCTTAAGTTTGTTTTACATTTTGGAATTCCTTACAGTTGAGAATAAGGAAAGCTTTTGTTAAAGAACGTAAAAATACATGAGGTCCCCAGAAATTGTGGTGCATATTTGTAGCTCAAATGTTTACCAATTAAAATTCTACCTAAGTGGGCAACTTCATGATAACATCCAGTTTACAAAGCCTATCTTATAGATGCAACAATGCTCTTGTAAATAATATGATCAAGGGTAAACATAGGAGTGTAAATACCATGGCAAGCCTATCAAAGTAGATCTATTGATATCCCAAATTACATGTTGAAAACCTCAATTAGATGTAAGTCAACATAAACCTCTTAAATAATAATTTACTCAATAAGTTAATTTCGATAGATTTAATCTCTCTTACAACAGATATTATTACAGGACTTAAACAATGTGTTGTTGTTTGTATTATCCCATCGTTGACTGGACCGAGTTGATCGGTCTCTATTGGCATATAGGTTCCTGTGTGTAAGCCTCGATATTGCCTTGACTCCCCTGCTAGCCACTATCCATCATTAATATAGAACTTAATAAATAGTAATAAAAACGACTAAATAAATAACTCACATGTAATGATTCAAAGTACAATAGAGCATCTGCAATATTCAATGCAAATGTTAATAATTCTTTTATTTGCTGTTCAATTAAATCTTCAGATAATAGCCATTTGAATGCATCTAATTCTGATAAATTGATATACTGTGAGGGTGAACTAATCACTTGATCAATGCCTACATGACCATTACCAAGAAAATTCATCCCTTTTGGTCGAAGATTTCTAAGGAAATCACGTAAATTACCATAGATAGCCATTTCAAGAAGAATGAATGGACGACCTGAAAATAAATAATTAATGGTGAATAATTAAATAATATTTAAAGCATAAGTAATAAAACTTCTATCTAGATGTTTATGGGGATCTTATTTATTGATTTCAGGCTTAGTGGTAACATGCTGGTCACGGGACCTTAAAGTCTTAGGTTCAATCCATGGTGGTGTCATAGGTGCGTATTATTGGGAAGTACCCATGTTAAGATGAAACAGTTGTCCAGTTTTCCTACGTTCCGAATGGTTCTCCAACTAATATCAGTTTGTGATGAATATGAACTTGAAATTAATGAGGTTTCAGATTTACACAGTTTAACGAAGGTAATAACAATCGTCAGGTACACATCTTGATAAAATCAGGATCCTAGAGCTGACACCAGTAAACATCATAAACTGATAAAATCACTGAAGCGGTTATGCAAGTCTAAAAGGTAGAATACGAAAGATTACACCTGAACCGTATGTGTGGTATATACCATGATTAAGGATGGCCTCATTTTATTCAGTTAAACATTTCATTCATATCTACCCGACACAGTCAATAAGAAAATGTTACTCATATGCTAGCTATACAATACGTTCACTTGAGACTAGGAATTCAGGTGTGAATAATATTCCAGTATAACTTAAGTATCAAGACATTGTACAATAACTCTACCACGAACATTTAATTACCACCTTATAAGTGTACTACACTTTCATGTCTAAATGCAAACTTCAACATTTGAACTGTGATAAGAAAAAAACTCCTGGGTAAAAAAATGAAGTCAATAGAATAAAGGATATAATAAGCACAAATGAATTTACATGATAACATCTAACCATCTTGTAACGATAGATCACGCCTCCATAGTATACAATAAAAATTTAACACCACTCATTATACAACAGCTGTATATTCTACAGACTCCACGGTAGCTTGGCAAATCAATATAAAAACAACAGCCACTGTCTCTCCAGAATTACCTAAACGATGTATTTTTATCGGCAATTTTTATCTTTTATTATTTGTCCTTTGGGTTCCTAGTGGAACATAAGACTTCAATAGCACGTCTCCATTTCACTCTCTTCTCTCCAGTCTTCACAACCTGGATCCACCAATTCCCAAAAGCTTTCATTTCTTCCTCACACCATCTCCTCCATGTTAACCTCGGTGTGAGTCCAATCCGATCCATTTTCATTTTCTTCAACTGCACATTTGTTGGGTGATAGCTTCTTGGTTAGTTTGAACGTTGCCAGCCAGCCAGCCAGCCAAAGTGAGTTTCCTGTTGCTTATTCTTATTATTCTGGTCATCTATCTGATCGTCAGTGTCAGTATCGAGTGAGCGTAGACGACAGCTGTTGATGTGATGTATGTCTGCAGTTTGTTGGAAATACTTTTCGTAACGCACCGGCAAGTCTCTCAACCATCACCATCACACAGAATCACTGACTTACTTGACTTGACTCAATTAGTGTTGAAAATCTGGATCTTGTTCACGCTTCAGTCTGAGTGCAGTGCAGTGCAGTGCAGTGCAGTAGATCTCCACACTGATTCCATATTGATGCACGAAGGCCTGTCTTGCCGTCTTTCTGATCCTGATATCCTCATCTGTGCTGCCTGTATTTGAAACCATGCTGCCTGCCATCGTAGGTGAAAGAGACTACTTCCTTCAGATTTCTCCTGTTGATAATGATTGGTGCTTGTTGTTGATGTTGTTGTTGGTTGAGTATCTTCATCACCTCTGTCTTCTCTACATTCACTTGAAGGAAGTCACGTCTTTGCTGCCCTGCCCTGCCTCTTCTGTCAACTTGTTACTTTTCACTTGTATATCTTCAAGCTTGTGGGGAGGCTAGACATAAATTACCAACGTTGGCGAAATTCAAACAGTCTAGGGTCCTTTCATCAGTCTATACAAACAGCGTTTGCCCATCTTCTCACAGCTCCTCACAGTTTCTTCCATCATCCACTCCACTCCAGTCCAATCAAACACAATTAGGAAGATCATTGGTGATAATAGGCGGCAACCTTGTCCTACTCCTGTTTCCTATCTTCACTTCAAAGGCATCACTGAGCTTTCCATTGTGGATTACTTGGCTGGCATGTAGCCTCACCATATAGTATAGCATATAGCTATTGAATGAGATTGATGAAGGTTTTTGGCAATAAAACCGTAGTGTTGAAGCAGCTGCCTGCCAAGTTGCTTGTTGGTCGACGCCTCGATCGAAGGCCTTTTCAAATTCGATGAAGTTGAGATAAAGTAGAGAGTTGACTGGCATTCTATACTCTGTTCTATGATGATGAGTAGCGTAGCGTTGCAATTTGATCCGCACATGATTTGTTCTTCCTGAATCCAACCAGTCAGCCTGTTCCGGTCGTAACTTCGAATTCAGAGCCTTTTTTTACTCTTTCCAGGATGATTTATCTGCAATATACTCTGCTAACAAAGGATCCATCCATTGATGAAGTGAATGAAAAGTATTTAAAGAAAATAATAATGAACTATTTGCATTATTTTGCACAGATCCACATGTGACAGTCCAACACACATCATATTTTATTGAGTCACTACAGATTAAAAGCGAAATAGTTCAACAATTATAGAAGTTTTTTTGAATAAAATGAACTCCAGAATAATCATGTCTGTTTATTCATTGAAATGTAGGTTGCCATACACAAGTCAAATAAGTGAAATAACCAATAAAAATTACGAACTAAATCGAAGAGGTCAAATATTAACATGAAATTTATAACCATAGGCAATGAATAGTTTTCTACAAACAATATCGATTCACGGTGAACGCGTTAATCATACACCCACCAGGTTGGAGTTCAATGATTCACAGTTTCCTACTTCTGTCAGTTCACGATATAGCGTGACAATCCACTAAGGTTTTCACAGTTGACATATACTTAAATACCACCACAGGTCACGGGGGTTTTCATTAGAACTTCGGGATATCCATCTCAAAGCATGTTACAGTAAAGGGTCGTGGGTGTGCACTGCTGCATATTACTTCCACAATAAGATCCCTAATAACTTCAAACTAAATTATAGTGTAGTGCTTTGAGATGGTTATCCCGAAGTTTTAATGAGACCATGACCCAGGGGGTCGACCAATATAAAGTAAAGTGAATGCCAACTGAAGACTCAGGTGGATAGTCCCGATATACTGCGAATCGATAGAAGTGGGAAGCTGCAAACCACTGAGATCCAACCTGGTGGCTCAATGGTTAACGTGTTCCTCGTGATCTCTGGTCGGATCGTGGGTACGTGCTGCTGAGGAGTCCCATACCGGGACGAAACAGCTTTCCAGCGCTTCGAGGTTTTCAATGGATCTCCACTCCAGAATGTATGTACTACCTTAGGAATAAAATTAGCATTAACTTCAAAGTATAGTATCAATTCAATCTTGTTTTAATCACTTATCTACGGTTCTGGCGACTTTTCAATTTCAAATGGTAACATAAAAATAGGTTTAAAAATGACTTGAGAGTAGAACTTAAATAAACAATACGCAGTAGACACTGTGCAGTAAAGATATACGTTGAAATGCACACCGCACAGTAGTATGATGTTTGGCAGAAAAACGCGAATATTATATAAAGCAAATGTGTTTTCCAACTTCCACCTACAATATCTACTATAACTCTAGAGCGATTATAATAACACAACCACGACTAGCGAAAAAAAATGTACCCAATATATCCAGATTGGAGTCTTAGAGTTCACTCAGACAGTTTTTATTTAACCTAGAGTAAAGGTGAAGTAAGCAGTAGTGCGTTATTACAACTTTCACTAAGCACCATTTGATTAAACAAGAGGACTAAAAAACCAACTAACTTATCAACCTTTCGGGGTTTTTTTTCTTTCTGACAAATATCGTGTATGTGTCGAACAAGTTTATATAGTTGAATCACAACTATACTGCCACAAATATATATTCTACAAGAGAATGATTACAGACAAATACAATCACATCAATCATTATCATAAGACATGCTCTGAAAAGTATTCATCATTAACGTTGAAAGTAAGAATAAGTCTTCACTACATTGTAATTCCTACGATGTCTACGTCATAACCTGACCAAAATTTCATTGGAATGAGAAGTATAAAACTGCTTTCTAATTTTTTCTTTCCCACACGGTCAGTACTAGGGTCTTTCTACTATAGGTCATTCAGTAGAGAACTTATCTTTATTGATTTCGAGGCTAACCGCACAAATCATCAAGTTTGTCATTTCATAAATAGAGAGTTTACTAGTCAATAATTTCCGAATAGTCAACTTAGTATCTATAATTATGCAAACAACAAATAAACCACTTTTCAGTATTTTTGGCGATAATTTAGTTTTTCGCAAACCAATTGTTGTAGTCACTACATGAATTAAGCATGCTAGCATATTTCCCATTTGAAATTCCCGAAAAAAATGTAATGAAGCTAATTCAAGAACTGTCATCCACACGATAGATTTGAGTTTATCATTTATGCTTAACTTTGATTAAAAGGTAACTGTATAAAAATAATACGGTATATGAACAGGTTTCTCAATGCACTAGATGCAAAGAGGCATAATATCGATATGCATTCCATCATTTATTCCACTGAATCAATAGGAGCTTCAGAAGCTTTGAATAACTTAAAGTAATCACAGCCAGGTAAATATTTGACTTTGATTTTATGAAGACAACTAGACAGCTTCTTCCAAAATCCTTGAATTAGCTAGTTCGGAAACACATTAAACCATCAACGATATAGAAGGAGCACCAAAAAACATTCGAAACAACTGAGGTAGATAAACGTACACACTTATTAAAAAAGGGAAACAAGAAATTTTCATAAATAACAATAAAAAAAGTATCCGGTTACATTAGTGGCGTATCGGAGACTAACAAAAGTCATGTGATCCAGAGGGAATCGCTGGTTGGATTCCATCGACCGCTTTGTGCAGCATATCCACGAAACTAAGAAAATACTCATACCGATAGCTTTTGACAGATGTCAGATAGCTGCAAGCTCAAAAC